CTGGATATGCTCATGGAACACAGTGTTCTTCTCAGTTATCTTTCTGTGAATTTTCCTTCCAGCTTATCATGAAGTGCAAGATTTACTAAGCCTTTTCACTTAATGTAATGGTTTCTTATTAACTTCTGACCAGGAAACCCATAAGACAAGTGTTTTAATGTTTGTGAGACTGAGACTTGGATGTGGATGCATAACTCCCACAATTAGGAATGTAAAGGACAGAGTGTGCAATACAGTGTCTTTGTAGATGTAATTTTGTCTGTTTTCCCTAAAAGCTTTAGCTGTATTTAGACCTTGATAATTAAGTTGTTTATGAAAATTTCCTGGTTCTTAATTTAAAGTCTCTATTAACTATATTTGTCTTCATTTAGTATTTTTACTAAACACATGAATGCCACCATCTGTTCTCCACATATACCATCTAACTAAAATTTATTATGAACACATTGTATGTTGTTAACAAGTCGAATAAACTTTGGTATTTCTGTTGTAGAGCTCATTTTTCCAGCATGCTGTGAAACACTGTAGTCATTGAACAGGGCTGTAATTAGCTGGAAAGAGGTCTCCCTGTTCACAAAGCAGTGAGGTTGGATGGATTCCTGCCTGTCTGCAGGTGTCTCCCTCGCTGCCTGGGTCGTGTTTCTCCTGCAGTCAGCAGTGATGGTTTTATACACCAGGGGCTTCCACCTTCTGCCTGTGCTGAGCTCTGTGCTGCCACCCCTTTTGTGTGCCCACTGCTGGAAGCAGGAGAAGGATCATGTTGGAATGGACAGGCTTCAAACCTCTACCACGTGAGTGTGAATGAAACTCACAGTCTATACAGACAGTACTGATTCTTGAAAATTAATTGAAAAAATTATTGCAGTGGTTGAAACAGTGTCAAGGCAAATGAGTGCTTTTTTACTGTATTATCCCTTGTTCTTCCTGCTGAGGGTTCTTACTAGTTTTTGCTACTTGTTATTGGGTGTTTTATTGATCATGATATAATGTTCCCAGTATTGGATCCTTGTAAAAGCTGGAATTTGGCACAGCAGTGCTGAGGAACAGCTTGTAGATACAGTAATGCCCAGTACGGGTAATTTCAAACAAAAAACTGACTCTTTCTGTGTATGTGAATAGTTCTGTTCTCATTGACTGAAACGTGGAGCTGGAGCAGCCCAGATAAAGTCTGGACCAGCTGAGGTACTTCAGCTTTAAAAGGACAGCTGGACTCTGAACATATACATCTTCTAATAAGTTGCAGAAATTTCCTGTTTCAATGCCTAAACCTTTCCACTCCTACAGAAAATGAGAGAAAATATATTAAAGTGTTTTGGATCTGATGCCTTCCTATCAGACTAGACAAAAATTTATTGTATCCTAAAAGAGCTCTAGAAGTAAAATATTGCACACAGAGGGGCCTTCATCCTCTTTCTGTGAATTGCTGAGACAGTCCTATCTTCTTTCCTGTCCTTGAAACAAGTCTGCACCTCTTTTTCTGCTTCAGACCTCATTAAAAGGCTCTTTAGTCTTGAAGCAAATAGACAGTATTCTCCTTTGTAACAATAGTTATTTCCAGGCAATGTAACTCAAGGAGTATTTCCCAAGTCACAGATAAATTAATTTTAGTGATTCTTGACAGCAATTCCATTTTTCCAGTAAGAAGTCTTACTGTAAATTGAGACTGGAGAATTGCATTATTCGTTTGAAAGATGTTTCTAGAATGTCTTTAGGCTCTTCTGGGTAGTGACAGTCTCATACAGAAATAAAATGGCCTTGCTTTGCTGTAGATTTATTAGTACCACTATTTTCTGCAGCTTCTCTCCTCTCAGAGTTCTTTGTTTTTCAGAATCTTCCTTGTTAGAGAAGTTGTACTTGCTTTGTGGGCTCGTAGTGTGCTACTGATAAAGTCAGCTCTGAGAAGATAATCCTCAGAGAAGGATTAAGTGTTGTTTGTCCATTTATTACAATGAGTAAACTGAGTCAGGGAGACTCTGATTTTCTTAAAGCCACATAGAAACTTCGTGTTACAATTGTCTGGTTCAGCAGCGCATTCTAATGGGTTTCCATGTTGCCTGAGGCCCAAGAAACCAATAATTCAGCCATGTTCAGTATACGGAAATGAGAGCAGAATTTGTCATGCAAAACTTCACGTGCCATTGAAGAGACTGAAAGGGCCTTGCTCTCATTTTAACATTTATCTTCATTAAATTTTTACAAGAACATTCAAATTAATCCGAGTAATTAGAGTGGAAGGGATAGGACTGTTTTACACAGTGTTCAACTGTGACAAAAACCTTCAGAAAAACAGATGCCTTGCTGCTTGCTCTGCTTGACTGCCAAGGGTTTAGTATTTTAGTGATACGGGGTAAAAGGTTTGTATGAAATAGAAGTAACTGATGTTAGTGAAGTATCTATATTAAAATCAATTCTTCAGGAGCACAGGAAAAGTATAAAAACCAACCCCTTCCAGGTTGCTGTGGTGAACACCCAGGGTTCAGGGCACAGATGGGCAGTGTTGGAGCTGGGTGGGAGCAGATCAGTGTCACTGCTTCACGGTTCTCATCCACAGAGTGCTGGGGGCCACACGGTGCCAAAATAAAACCTGCGTGAGCTTCCCTCGGCGCCGGCCCAATTCTTGCCTGAGACATTTGGGGACTCGGGGTTTCAAGTGGAGAGGGACAGGCTGCTTGGCACACGGACACGGATGGACAGAAATCCTCTGTGCCAGGCCTTGGGTGAGGGCCGTGTGTGCTGCCGGCACTGCTGCGCCCGGGGGATGAGCTCACAGCAAGGCCCGGGGTGCCCAGGCCTCTCTGTTCTCCTTGGCGAGTCTTTCTCTTCTGATGAACCGTGGAGAAGCCTGTCCCTCTCTCCCTGTATTTGCAGAAATTTTAAAATGCAAAGCTGCGCCTCCTCACTCTGGGGAATGCTGGAGACAGAGCCTCAAGAAATGCAGCTTTGTGAACAAAGCTCCTCTGTGGCGTTGGATGATTATAATATAAAAAGTATAATACAAAATACATATTGCTGGAGGCCAATAGTATGAGGCTCAATAAGGTCAGGTGCTGGGAGCTGCTCTTGGGCCACATCAATTCCCTGCAGCTGCTGGCTGAGGGCACAGGGCAGGAGGGGACCAGGACGTGCTGGTGTCCAGAGGCTGAACAGGACCCCATGTGCCCAGGTGGGAAGGAAGGCCATGGCACGTGGCTTGTACCAGAAATAGGGTGGCCAGCAGGACCAGGGCAGTGATTGTTCCCCTGTACTCAGCACTGGTGAGGCCACACCGCGAGTGCTGGGTCCAGTCCTGGCCACCATCACTGCAGGACACTGAGGGGCTGGAGCATGTCAAGAGAAGGGAATGGAGTGGGGAAGGGTCTGGACAGTCACAAGGAGTGGCTGAGGGAGCTGGGGGGCCCAGTCTGGAGAAAATGAGGCTCAGGGGAGACCTTCTCGCTTTCTCCAACTCCCTGACAAGGAGGGTGCAGCCAGGGAGGGTCAGGCTCTACTCCCAGGCAGCTGGCAATAGGACAAGAGGAAATGGCCTCAAGCTGTGCCAGGGAAGGTTCAGGTTGGATTATCAGGAAAAACTTCTTCACTGAAATGGTTGTTGGCATTGGAATGAGCTGCCTAGGAAGGTGATAGAGTGATGATCTCTGGAGGTGCTCAAGAAACAACTGGGTGTGGCCCTCAGTGCTCTGGTCGGGTTGTCAGGGTGGTGATCGGTCAAAGGTTGGGCTCCATCCTGTAGGTCTTTTCCAGCCTAGTGATTCTGTGATAATCAATGTGCCTCACTTCTTTCCTCTCTTCTTCACGTGATGGCTGCATGTCCTGCCTGCTGCAAAGTACTGAAGATTTCAGAGGTATTTGGAGGACTGAACTGTATGACATGAGAGGAAGAGCCAAGCACCAGGAGTGGACAGACCAGATGAAATGAACCCTGTACTAGAGTTCACACTCATAAGCTGATTTGGGTTTTTTATGCCTTGGTTAGACTTACTTGACACTGCACCAATTTCAAGATAAGCACTCCAGAGACAAGTTAAGACCAAAAAAAACTACCTAGACAGAATTACTGTATTTCCCAAGATATTTTTCTCCTCTTGATTGCAATAATCTACCAGCTTTCCAGTAGATGAGCTGGCAGAGGTCGACTGCTAGCATGATCTTCAGCAGGAAGAGCAGAGTTCTCTCTTGAACTCCTTGTGATTGCTCAGATCTTTGAGTATTAAGGCTTTTGGGTGGCTTTACTCCACCCTACTGTGTCAGTAACTGAAAAGCAAAACTAAACTCTTCAATGTATTTGCCAGTTTTACAAATAGCTTGTTCTAATCAGCAGAATATAAAGAGCAGAAAAATATGTTTATACATTGAAGGGTCAGTAAAAAGTCAGTAGCAGTGGAGGTTGCTCTAGCTGGTGAGGTTCAGTGAGAACTGAGGTATGTTCTAGGGCAATCTTAAAGAATGGAACTGAGTCAATGATGAAGTCTTGGTGTGTTCTGTGCAGAAATTCAAACTCAGCTCCCACCACACAAAGGGCATCTCCCCTGTGGGTTCTGATTCTGGTGACAAGCAGCATGTGCTGTTTGCAGGGTTTAACTGAGTGCCTGGTAAATGCACTTGGTGCTGACTCCACGTGGGTTTGTGCTCACTGTGTGGCCTCCTGCTTACCTTTGGTCTTGAGTCGTTCTTTTCATTGTAACTAACATTAAAGTGTGTTAGAGTGCTGGTGAAACCAGCTGTTTCCTTAAAACACTCCAGTGAAAGAGTTCATTAGTCTTGAACCTGAAGTGATACTGAGATACCCACCAGTCCCATTGGATAAAGCAGTTGCCCTGCCAAATTCTCACTGAAGTCATGAATAAATCTGATCATCAATAAAGAACACTAGGTGATGTCATGGGTCTGAAGACCAGAGACCTCTTGTAAGTGGTGCCACAAATAGAGTGAAGGAACAAGAGACACTGATTCAGATGACATGAGTCTTACTAACATTGTTTCTTTTGAATTTTCCCAAATAGGGTCGAGACTGCAGTGTGCCCATTAATTCCTGCATTCAAAACCCATGTGAGAATGGAGGGACCTGCCACCTCACGGAGGCAAATAAAGACGGATTCAGGTAGTAGCACAAAGTTCATTTAAAATGAGATGATAAAATGTAATGTGTTTCTGCTTTGCATTAATGAACTGTAACGGCTGCTTTATAGAAACTGCTGTATGTGGCATTTCTATTTGCCATACAAAACTATTGCTTTGGTTTCAGTGGTGTGACATTGTTTCCTGTGAAACAGGCCTCCTTATTTCCTCATAATGGAATATACATTTAAGAGCTTTTGAGTGGTCTCTATGATCTACATTGTGTTATCTGCATCCTGATTTTCCTTGGGGCATTTCAGTCTCACATCTAAGCTGTTTTTGTATTTGTAAAGTGAGCATCTGTTTCTTGACAGCCAGATCCAAAATGTTTTCATGCTGAAGAATCTTGCAGACAAACAGGCTTTAAAGAAACAATTAAAAAGCACGGGGAGATTGCCACATCTTAAGCATTGCGCCTGCAAGAGAATAACCTCTGCAGCTGGGTATTGTGGATTTCAGTTTGGCCATATAACAAAGATGTAGCATAGGGGGGATACTCCGAGAGAAGTCTAGAAATTTTAATGGGATAGCTGGGAGATCTGCACTGCTGCAGACACTACTTCACAGCTAAGAAAATACAAGTTTGAGGCTTTGATCACTCGTTGTCATTCAAGTTGAAAGAAAGTTTCTTTTTTAAAAAGAACTCCTAGAATTTTCATAGATTTCCTTCTCCATGTTTATGCTGTTTCTTGCAAAAGGAGAAGCAATAAACAGAAGAAATACCCCAACGCTTCCCTCTGTGCCTGCATACCCTCAAGAATTCCCTGCTTCCAGAAGCAGATGCATCACATCACAGGACACAGGTGTATTACAGTGGAAAAGCACAGGTTGACGGGGATCAAGACACACTGTCAGGTTCCGTAGTGAACAGCAGCTGGAGGTTTTCCAGTGTGGAAAACAGGAGCAGACATTGCCACATCTCCACGAGCTCAGGGCTCAGCTGGAGCACCTGTGACAGCCCCTGAGCACAGCAGAGGAGTCTCCTGAGTCAAGATGTGTCTGCAGGGTCATGGTGGTGGGAGAGGACGGGGAGGCTTAGCAGATCACAGCACATCCAAGTGATCATGCTGCTTGACAGACTATGTAGATTCTGGTGAAAGCACTTCTCTGATCTGATCTACCTCCTCTTGATTCAGATTTTAGCAGGCCCAGCAATTTTTGGAGTAAAAGTTCAGGTTCAGTTTCTACTTGAGAGAATTAATGATCTGGTGGTGTTCAGTTCACTTTGCTTTCTGGTCATTTGTGTATGTAGGTTTTTCCAGCTTGTGCCAATGTAAAACCACACCATATTAGAGTATCTGCAGTTTGTCACTCAGTACCCATTTTTCAAAAATATAGCTGATACTATAAATGCAGTAGTAAAACATTTTATAATATCCATAATACTAGAACGAGAGCCTTCAACATACATTTTGGATTGGGCTTTTCCTTTAGCATTTTTGTTTTGTTCTGTGGTAGTAGATAAAGAATTTTGAATGACCCAAATTGAGAGTTACTTATGAATTTCTCTCATGAACTGAATGAATTTTACAATTTGAGAGGCTTTGCTTCAGTTCCAAATGAACATTGTTTTTGAGATCCTTTATAAAACTGCAGGGGTGGTTTTGTTGCTGAACAACATTCGAGGCTTTTTAGGGAAGGATTCTGCTTTTATAGTTATTTATATAGTTTCAGTTGGTCTAATAAAAGACACATAAAACCATATCTCATCAAAATCCTGCTGCATAAAATTGAATGTTCAGCATATGCATTGCTCCATTTTCTCTTTGTTTTTAATTCAGTCAGTCCATAATCTCTGTGGCTATGCAGGACTGTGGAGCTTTAGCATGGCTGTGGGAAATGTGGTGTGGAGATGGAACAGTCAGTGACAAGGAAGATAAAGAAACATTTTGAGATTGAATTTGGTTGGTTGGGTTGGGGTTTTTTGGTGGGAAATCTCTCCAGTGGATGGCAGCAGTCAGAGTTATGTGCATATAAATTGTGTTCACCAGGATGGGAAAATGCTGCCCTACATTACGTGCTGTGAGGAAGCGGATGTCAGAAACATTTTCATGAGAGGCCTCCTTGGATTTTTTTGTTGTGTGGCCTGTAAAAGAAATTATATCTTCTGTATATTCTCTTCCCTAGGGAAATATATTCATACACAAGTCCTGCTGCCAAACTTGTCAAATCTTTACTCTTGTAAAAAGGAAACTTAAGCCAAAGTTCTCTCCCTATGAAATGCCAAGCTGTTTAACTCTCAAGTTTCTGAGGCCTTAGACAAGAAAATTACCATTTGAAATAATGCTAAGGTGGTGATGTTCCCCCCAAAGACAGGAAACTCTTAGTTATGGCTGAGATTCCAGCCCAGCGCCCCCACTGTGCCTGGTGCCCACAAGGGCTGTCAGCAGCAGGGGCCTGAGGCACTCAGGTTTGCTGGAATAGCAGATCCTGGTGGGACAGCCAAGGGCAAAGGTTCAGCTGGAGTTCCTCTGTCCTCTTTTACCCTTGCACTTTTTCAATCCTGAGTAATTTTCATATTCTCTTCCTTCAAGTAGGGCGACCTCTGTGTTGAAGAATAGATAAGTGACACAGTGTGGCTCAGAGAGGAGTGGAAACGTGAAGTTCTTCCTCCCTTTGAATTGCTTGTTCTAATCTAATCTGTGTCTGCCTTAAAAAAAGGTTGCCCAAAAAGTCACTTATTAAGGCTGATAAAAAGATGGCCAATGAGACATGTCCTGGTGGTTCAGCACACCTGGAAGGGAGGCTTTGGCAGGGGCAGAGCTGTCAGCTCTGCTGCACTTACCCAGAGGCAGCAGCTGATCTCCGATAACCTGCGGTGCTGGGAGACAAAGGCTCCGGGTTATTTTAACTTTTCTCCATATAAAACCCCCTCCATTTCCCTGATGGCTTTTTTTAGCATTTTCCACAAACTGTAAGTGCCCTCATAAATGTAAAATCCTGGAACTGATTAGCTGCTGAGTGTTAATTCTGCCTAGTTCAAGGAAAAACATTGCACTTCCAGACTTACAGGCTACTCCATTGGGATCTAGACATAAAAGGCATCTTTTCCATGAAATTGTATTTTTCCTGAAAGAATTTACTATATCTGTTTAAAAGGTAATTTTTTTTTTAACTTGACACACTGTATGGGTATGTATATGCTAAATTGTTTCATTAGAGTTTATTTTTAAAAAAATCTAATACAGTAAACTTTAAAAATTGCCATCTTAAAAAAAAACTTATAAAATGCTTTGGGTCCAAAAGTTAACCCTAAAATGTTGCCATTTGTGCTCCCTTGAAACTTCATGAGGATAATGGGATGTTATTTAATTCTTTATAGGAAAACAGAACACCAATCCCTAAACAGGAGGAATAGGGTATTTGGACATCTATTAAAACACAGCAACTTAGGAAACAGTTGTTTCCTGCATGGCTCCACTGTTTCCAACATCCACATGAAATGCTGTCTCACACTGCTTCACTACTGAGTCACTGCAAAGTTTTCATCATTGTCTCTGGAATTCATTTTCTCCCTCGGTCAGCTGGAACCCGAGTTTGATGACCTTCCAGTCACTCAGCAGACTTCATTTTTCTTCTAAGTTTTTTCTGGGAGAATACATACAAACAGTCCCAAACTGCAGTCTTTCAACATGTGGTTCAATCCAGGTCCCAAGTTGTATGTTTTATCTTTTCATTTCAGGCCTCATATCTGGTACATTTGAATGCAAATCAAAATAAAGAATTGTACATAAGCAATAATGTAAAGACTCTCTATACTACATAAGGACCAGTAGCCAAATGTCATCAATTATTCTGACATTTCCCTGAGTATGGAATGTGTCCTAATACTGAGCAATTTATGTTAACAATCCCAAATGAATTGTTAGTAATGGTAACTCCACTGTGAACCATTACTGTGATAGTGTTTAATAATGTCATTTTTAATTGCATACATCCAAGCTGTCCCAGTCCTTTTGTGGAAGGAAAATGGTGTTATGTTCACATAAAAAAATCAACGGCACAAAGCCACTCTTGTTGCTTTTCTTTAAATGGAGAGAAAAATTTCTGTTCCCAAACTGAGACCTTGTCTTCCAAGTTGCAGCCTGGAGCATATTTTTTTGACCGAGTTATAAACCCCTGAAAATGGGGTTTTGTAATCAAAAAAGCAAGACATGATGAATGTATCACTGTATTTAATTAGATGTCTTTAACCCCCTCCATGACACTTGCATTGCCACAAAAAATGGTGTGCCAGCTCTTCTTTCCTCTGTGCCTCCTGTGATCCTCTGGCTCTGGGTCAGCAAGAGGACATGTTTTATTAGCAATAATGATCTTGAGACAGGAAAAGAAAATATTCCTTACTGATTTATTGTGTCCTAAATTAGATTTATTGGAGCAGTTTGGTTTTGGTTATATCATGGTGAAGGTTTTCTAACCCTCATGACCTGTGCATGGTCCCTGCAGAATGAGGATGACTCAGAATGTGACCAGTGTCCCTCTTCTGTACCCATCTGGGAGACCTTACTGTTGTGGTGGCTGAAGACACATTCCCTTCCCATTTTTTGTCCTCTTTATTATTCCTTTCTAAGATTGCACATCATGAGGAGTCTAACCTAACCCTCATGATCCAGCCTGTGACTACTGAGGGTGGATGCAGAGCTTTGTGTCATCCCTCCCTTGGGAGCCTCATCAGGCTGTGACACACAGCAGGAAGGAAAAGTCCTGCAGCTTTCTTTATAGATTCTGAAGAGCTTCTTTTTCTCCAGGGCTTTCCCCATCTCAAACCCATGACACCTGCATAAAGCAGGATAACCACCTCAGGTCCACTTTGTCAGAGCTGAAAACAGCGCCCTGCAGCTGTGTCTGCCTTGGAAATTCTCCTGGTTTCTAAAAGCAGTGGATGGCAATTAGTGTAACTGCTGTATTGCTTTCTGGTTTTCATCCTCATCAATCAGTAGTGCTTTTTATTTGTCCAGTTCCTTTTCTTCTACCAGAGCCTGCATAAGAAAGGAAATGAACAGCAGAGTGAATGTGTAGTTTGGACTGGGTCCTCGAACAGCCCTTTCTGTGACTACTGAACTGCAATGCTGGCACTTCAAAACTGACATTTCAAATATCAGTGCTGGCTTCTCAGAAGCCCCTGATATTACTGGAGTACTTACCTCCTGTTTTTTAGACTCTCTTTTAGGAAACTCTGGCCTCCACCTCTTCATCACTTACAGATAGTTTAAAATAGAAAGGTTCTGTTTGTAACCATGGCTTCTAGATCTAGAGAGGAAATGGAGATTGAAAAAGTATCAAGCCATTCTTCAGCCATTAAGTTTGCTACCCTCCCTCTAGGGACCATACATCACACTCCTGTGAGATAAAATGTCTAGTGCAATTATTCTTCACTAGTGTCCACATCTTCACAGAACCATTACTAGCTCTGCCGTGGTCTGTGTTTTAGTTGAATTATCTGGGCATCATCAGCTCTTCTCCAAATAGATGTTGGGGGAGCTGCAGACATAGTGAAATCTTACAGCACTTGTAAAAGCAGTCATTCCCAAACATTGCTTGTTTGGACAAGTGACAAAATAGTAATGAGAAGAAAATTCTCATGTCTGTAAACTCAACTCGAGCTGCTGTTCTTTGAAGAGACCGAGATATCTTAGAGCTGCCAAGTTGTCCTGTGATTGTGCAGTCCTCAGCAGGCACATGTCCACATTCTCACAAAAACATTAACAGGGAAGCCAAGGATTTGAATATTGTGGTGAATGTTTACTCTCCTGCCCTGGAGTTGCTTACTCCAGCTAAGGGCAAGAGTTATCAATAAAGTAAGCAAAGGGAGCATGGCAGAGGCTGGCACCTGAGGATGGTTTTTGTCTCATGTAAATAATTACATGACCTCAGGAACCATCAGAGTGCATCCTTCACCAAACACCTGGGGTTAAATTGTTCTGTGTCTCACAGTAGCAGTGAATTTGACACCAACTGACTTTTATATCTTTAAATTTCAGTTTTATACTCAAACCTCCTGTCCCTTTAGATCGATCCATGCTAACTTTTTTTTTCTTCTCTCTCCAAAGCTGCTCTTGTCTTCTTGGGTATGAGGGGGAGAGGTGTGAAATAAATCCAGATGACTGTGAAGATAATGACTGTGAGAATAACTCTACATGTGTGGATGGGATCAACAACTATGTGTGTCTCTGCCCACCTAATTACACAGGTAAGAATGGGCCACAACCAGAGAACAGGCATCCATGAGAAGTGCCTGAAGGTAGGGGTTCAAATTCATGTTTATTGAGTGCATGAGCATATAATTAACTGAAAATCAAATTCCCTTTTAAGCAATCTGAATCTCTCCCTGGAAAAACGATAATTCTACTAATATTACAATAAATATGATCACAAACATGACCACTTTTCTGAGTCAAAATACTGATATCTCACTGTAAAATACATTAAAAACCAGTATTGTAGGGGTCAGAGAAGTCTCTACTTCAGCATGCACATTCTCAGTACTGAACTGAGCCTGATATACTCCTGTCCTGAATCTTGGAAAACCTTGGCTTAGGGGGTACAGCTTTCACCTGAGATCTCAGAGGTCTGCATGCGTTAAATACAGTGAGCCTGACAATGTGCTGCTAAATTCCTGATCTCCATTTCACAAGCAAAGGCTGTGTAAGAGGCTGCAGGCTCAGGTGCTGTCTTCAGCTCACCCAGGTCGGGGGGCAGAGTCAGCTGCTGGGTCTGTGGTCACAGGAGTTGGTGATGGAGTTAGAAATGGGATGAGTGTCTCCAGTACTGCCCTGCATTGCAGATAAATACCTTCCTAAGCTTTCTGCTAGAGCAGAGACTCTTCTAGGTGGAATCTAAAACTGGTTTTCCCCAAGCCATTCTGGAGCATTCCATGGACTCATTCACAGGGCATTAGCCCAGCCCTCCTGGCTCAGCATGGAGGGTAAGGAAACACCTGCAGGAGTTCCTGCTCCAGCCTTTGAAATGGGGTTATTGCCTCCTGAGCATGGAGAAGCAATGAAGGGCTTCTTGTACACTGGAATATATTACATGTCAGGGGATTTAATGAGGATCAAGCTAGAGTGGCTGAGTAAGGCAGGAGGAAAGCTTCTAGAATTTCCAGACTCTTAAAATACTTTTGTGGCTGATACAAAGCAAGCCCATGTAAATCTTCAGCTAAGAAAAGCCTTATGACTCAAATGTACATTTATTGGGTCTCTAAAATGATATTTCTGCCAAAACCTAAAAAAATTCAGCTTAGCAGAGTCAAGAGTTTTTGCTTGTAGGATGTTGAGCCCATTGTGCTTACTTGTGCACTATTTATGTCAGCTATTCTTGGGTGGTTTCTAACAGAACTCAATGCAAGGAGGCAGAGTCTTTGCATTTACAACAGGAAATGAATTTGACCAGCCAAGGAAAGACATATCCAGTAAGAAACTGAGTCCAGTATATATCCAGTATCCAATATATGCAAATGCAATTTCCCCAAGATTATTGCAGAATTATTTTTTTTCCATCCAATAAAGATAGGAAAGAACTAGATTGGGATTTCTTCTCAAATGGCCATCTGGATAATGGCCAGGGAACTCATGTGATATTTTACAGTCAGTTTTGAAATATATTTGCTCAACTTCCAGTGGGTTTTGTTTTGTTGATTTTTGGTTTTGGGACTTTTTAACCTGAATGTTGTCTGTGCTGTGCCTACACTGATTAGTAGGAGTTTGTAAAATACCAGACCTCGCTGTTGCCATGTGGGTGATATACAACCACACAATAAGCATGTGCTATCATAGTGCAGGCAATAAGCTTGATTACAATCGGGAAAAAAAAAGAATTTTTGAAAAAAAAAAAAAGGAAATACTTCCAGAAAATCTAATATGAATCATAGGTGAAAAAGGTTGCAGAAACAGGGGTGTTGCTTAAATTAGAATCTGAAGGGTTACAATAGTTCGAGTTGCTTAAAATAGGAAGAGCTTAGTGAACTGTGATACCAGAATTGCTTCAATGTGCTTTACCTCCATTTTGGAGGGGGATATTTCATCAGTCACCTGGAAGGACTGACTGCAGTGCAGCTGGCTGGGCTGAAATGTCCCTCAGAGCTACCCCTGGCCTCAGAGCAGGACAGGGAGCAGCATAAAACGGCTGCAAGAATTGCAGCCATCAGCTAAACAAAAGTACACACAGGCCAAGCAAACCTGAGAAATGGTGTTGAGGGTCCTTACAAGTTGAATCCAAACACAAGAAATGGGGCATCCTGTGAAGTTACTCAATTGACTGAACAAAAGTGGAGGAAATGCCATGGAAGCACAGAGGCAAGTCATGAAAGCACACCTTGAAATGGTTTCTGTGTCTGAGCTGGGAAGAGAGGGATCTACTGACCAAAGAGTCTCATTGAAGTCTCCTGTGACATCCAGGGCATCTCTATGTATATTCTCTTTAGATTAACCTTTTTGTAATGAAAGAATGTCTGACACTACTATGGCAGTATCTATTAACAACAACAAACAAAAAAAAAGTAGGTGCATGAGTTCAGTATTGCATAATGTATGAAGGTCAAGAGTTCAGAGAGAAAGCAGTTCACTCCAGGGGTCAGGAATGCTTATTCCTGTGCTCAGAACTGTGTGCTGAGGTACCTGCCTCTCTCTGGTGCTGACTGTGCTAAATGTTGTGTTATCAAACTCTGTGTGCTCCAGCCTTGCCAAGTGTATGGATTTGATCTACGTGTGGATGAGCAAAGAATGGCAGGGGTATACAGTCCAGGGAAGCAATTTTTCTGTGAAGTAGTTTGAAGGACAGTGAGCTCTCAATGCCTGAAAGGGCACAAACATCCATAGCCAGGCTGTATCTAGCAGGACAGAATATGTAGGTGATAACTCTTTATGTTGTACCCAAATATTATCCTTAGTTCTGTTGTTAACAAGTAGTAGACAGACAGAATAAGCGGTTTTTTTCCTTTTCTTTTGTCACCAACACTTGTATAGAAAATAGAAGTTTCTTTGAAAGGTTGACTGGCTGGGTTTTGTGGCTGAACAAATCCAGACCATCCATTTTTATCAGTGTAATTATGCAAGAGTTGTTGGTTCTACATACAAATGAGATTTCTCAGCTGTAGTTAACCCCCATGTGCAGTCAGGAGTGTCTTGCACTGGAACTGTTTCTGCACTGATAGTCTGGGATGTTTGCAGTAGCCTGAGCTTAGATATGCCCAGCTCAGTTATTGCAGATTCCTGCTTTTCTCCTCTGCTAAGCAGGAAGCCTGAATCCCTCATCACTCCTGTGCTCTTGGATGCCACAATGCTGATAACACTGCAGTGATATTCAGTAAACTCTGCATTTATAGAACAAATGTATGCTGTAATGCAAAAAATAGCCTGAATGCAGAGAGGAAGATCCAAGAGTGTGTATGTGTGTTGTTCTGTAATAGTTAGGGTCCCCCTTGGCTTAGTTGAGTAATGGTTAAATCATGATAGTAAATCTTATGTTCCTAAATGAAACACAAATTAAAAATGAATGTGTTGAAAATTCTGACTATTGACAGAGTCACAGTATCCAGGCTTTGGTTTTTTCCATACCTTAGTGTTTTCCTGCTCTATCTGCTGTCTGCCTGGTTTTACTTGTTATAGCCTTTTTAGGGAACAATATCCCAAATTATGATGCATGAATTTTGCTTTCATTGGTTGGAAAAATGAAGGCCAAAAATCTTTCTTCAATTAATGAGATTTTGTAGTGTTTTCTTTTCAAATTCTTTGACAGTCTTTTTCCCGACTCAGAGTAGATGAAAAATGGCCAATTTGTTAAGTGACTGCTGAGGAAAGAATTTCCCACACTCCAGCCCCATTTCACTTTCATTTAAAAAAAGAAAAAAACCCACACAAAAAAGCAGCCCACATTCACACAATAACCTCCTTCCTAGTTCTTTTCCATCTATTAACTTTAAAACAATGTGGAATTACAAATGGATTCCATGAAGTAGTAAATGCAAGTTAAAGAAGTCAAAACTGAGAGGAGTGGAGGCAGACAGCTGAATGCCATAAAAAAGCTTCAAACCCGTACCCATTTTCACCAGATTTCCTCACCATTCTTAATATTTTCAGTATTTGTTGCCTGTATTTAAATAACCAAACCAGCACTCATGTCGTGTAGCAGAGTCCTGATGTCTTTAATTGTCAGCTGATGTCTTATTTTTCCTCTGCCCAACTGGTTATTTTAATCCTGAAACTAAATGATAAACATGTAATTCCTCCAGGACAATAATGTACCCAAATCCAGCCAGCTCTGAGGAGTCTGGGGCTGGTTTACGACCTGCTTGGACTTTTGGTGGTTTACAGCTCCTCCCTACAGTTGTGTAGGCTCTCCTTCCCTTCCAAAAGAAACATTCATAGGGGCATCCAAAGAGAAGGATATGCATTAGATCAGCCACCCTGGTTCTTGACCTTTTTGTATTTTCCTAATCTCTGCCTTTTTGGCTGTAGCGTGGCCTGTCTCCAGCTATTGATATAAACATTGTGTTTTCCCTTCAGCTTAGTGGTGTAGGAATGTAGGACAAAATTCAGAGCTTTTCCCTTCCATCATTTTCCATTTGACTACTGTTACAGACCTCCTTCAGACCATCACTGCTTTGCTTATAGTCCTGGACTCAAACACAGAATCTCATCCCTCCAAAGACATCCTCACTGCTCTCTGTGCCTCCATGTGAAGAGGGGTCCAAACATATATAGAGGAACAAAGGAGCTGCACCAAACATGCCCTAGGTGCTTTGAATGCTTTAGTGCTTTGCCTGCTAGTTTATTTGGTTTTGGTGTTTGCTGTGAATTTTTCCTCCCCCTGTCTGATTTTAGCAGAAGTAGAAATACATAGCACTTACACACAAAAAAAAACCCAACCAGGAAATATATTCCTATTTGCCAAAGATCCTAAAAAGCCCCAACAGTGCCCTCCCCTCTTTGTTCTGAAACCTAAAAAAAAATAAATTAGTGGTTTCCACTACTGAAAATAGGTCTTTTCTAAAATACACAGTAACCCATGGCAGAGAGAGGGCAGGAGCAAGTGTTTTAAAATAGTTTGCTTCCCTGGGAAAAAGCTGCAAGCAGTTTGTATTACTGAAAAAAAAATCTCTCTCAAAAAAGTAATAATAAAATAAAGCTAGGAACTATTTCTGGTTTGATATGTTTGGAAGAGGAGGCTAAGATCTGTTTTACCTTAGGGGAC